AGTCGGATTTTGCTCGAAACCCAAGCTCTATAGGTAAAAACTGACTAAAAATTCAATATCTGAGCAACAAAGCACTATGAGGATGAACCAACTTAGGGTATTTCACTACTCACTGAGGTCTACAAAATACAAGTAGTCCGAGTTCAAAAGCGATTTATAATCTCAAGAGGTTCCCTCATGAGCATTAGAAAAGTAAGACTTTTCGCCTTCTTCTCGAATTTTCTTATGACGATCGTGCACTGGACTACAAGCACTAAGATCACGGATAGCACTTGGGCTTGCACTAGTGGATGGCTCAGAACTGCTCGAATCTTCATCATATTGAATGACTCTGTCCTTATAGGACGAGTCTGTTATCGAATTTAACCATGTAATCGGGTCATCATTGTTATTCATGTTCTCTTCAGTATCAACAATTGTATTTTGGCGTGAATTTTGTATTCTATCATCAACTGGATAATTTATTTTTTTACTGCATTATTATTATCATTATCTTCTTCATTATCAGATTTATTATGATTGTACAATAAGCCATCATTATCATTATCTGGTTATGAGACTGTTTTATCAAATTCTTCAAATAATGTTGCTGCATCTAGTGGCAAATTTTCTTCTAACATAATACCTTTTTCAATATCAGGTATAGCCGAATTATTATCATCATTTTCTTTCATTTGTTGTTGAATACGTTTCCAAAAATCTTCGTTGAACCGAATACCATCTCAAATGGTGTCTTTTTCGTAGTTTTTGCGATACTGGTATTAATAGCCAGCATCACTGGAACAAGAAACAAGAAACTAATAGTATCGATCATCACTAGTTTTAGTTATCCTACCCGAGCCTAGTCCAACAGGCCAGTCTACCGTTTGATTGGAATCTAACTATTTACCAAGAAGCTGCTGAACCACCGCATTACCACGCTCGACTAAGCCCTGTGACTGAGGATGTCGGGGACGCCCATTTATAATAATCAAATCGGTCCATATTGTTTCCAGATAATAAATTACGTGAGCAACAAACTCCCGTTCGTTGTCTGACTGCAAAATTTTGGGTGGTCGAAACTGAAAACAAATTGATTTTAATATTTGTGCAACATTAGCAGCCTCTTTAGTAAACACTGAACGCAACCAAGAATATTTAGAAAAGTGGTCTTTTGCGTGAAAAATCCATTTATAGCCATCAAGTTCGCTACTGCGCATATCTATTAAATCCATTTGCATTCGTGTCATAAATCCAAGTCAGAGATGGCACCGGTCGACAAAATCTTGATCGGTATCGGCTGATCATTTTTCAAAAACTTTGACCGGTAAGCGACCGGTGTTTTTTGCTTTCTGTTTGATATAAATATGCTATTTTCTGTCATATTTTCTAGTTATAAGCCAAGTCAACCGGGCTCGGTCCAGCAGGTTGACCGGAACCGGTCCAGCAGGTTGACCAGAACCGGTCCAACCGGCCGGTTGATAAGTCTCGACCGGAGCGAGAACGGGCGTCCGGTTGCATCTCTGATCCAAGTGATACAATTGGTTTTCCAATAACTTGTTTGGGAAAAACTTTTCGAGAAACTCAGTGATCACATAAACTAATAAATATTCTCACACCTTCAAGAGGTATGTGCGAATAATGATTTTTCACCTACATTAGACAGAAAAGTCATAAAAAGATACAAGCACAGGATTTTTTCTAATGGCATTATTTGTGAACATCCTCATAGGTGGCAACTTTTCTGTCACATACCTCATTCTATGTTTTGTCACGTCCAAGATCATCTTGGACGACTGTAAACGAATGTCATTCGGCTGTAGGACATCTTGGGGGCTTGTCCAAGCGTGACGCTGTGACATTTTTGCCACAGTAAATTGAGCTTTTCTCAAAAACTGTAGGAGCTAGAAACTTCATTCTTGCGCCATTCGACGCAGCTCGCCATACTCTACTTTCAGTATAAAAATGAAGGTATTTGGTTAAAGACTCGAATTTTTAGAACCGTTTGTCGGTGCATGCCGCTGTGACAAAAAAAGGCCCTAAATTCGAAGCTCGCCTCAGTAAAAGCTATTTTGCTCCGAATTTAGAAGACTTAATAAAAAGCGTCTAAAGCAAAGTTTGAAGAGGAGGAAACGAGCTATTGATTACTAAAAAAATAGATTTTCTGATGAGCTTCCCATCCCTCAATAATTGTATTTTAGCGCCGTGACTCTGTGACATTTTTCGTGACGCTGTGGCACACGTTTCTTCCAACAACTTTTGGAGCACCAAACATTGCTCAAAGGATTTGCTTTTCACATCGAACGTAGTTCTAGGCATCTGCTATAGACTAGCATAAAAATAAAGTCGAAAAAATGTATTCACTCCCTTAGAATTGTCCGAGAATCTCAAAATTTCAAACTTTGTTAAAAAGCTTGTTTTGAGTCTAAACTTCAAAAGAAACATACCATCTTGTAGTGAATCGAATTCTCTATCGACTAGTGTGATCTTCCATTTTTTAAGGAAAGGCGTCTAGGTCAGGAAATTGAAAATACAGTTTTCAAAAAACGTAAAACTGGATTTTTGCCGCCAAAATTTAACTTTTTTAAAAAAAATAATGTAAGATTCGTAATTAGCATCAAAACTACATCTAGTGATGTGCTTCTTTCAGTTCTACCCTAAAATAATTTTTTCAAAAACTTAATCAGCGAAGTACCGAGTTACGTGGACAAGTCGTAACGTTAATAGTATACTTAGCCCATTTCTTCTCATCGAGAGAATTTATGTAGGAATCGAGTTTAGCATAGAAAGCTTCCATGGTAAGACAGCACACGATGTGACTTATATAGCATCTAGACATGTGTATACGTGTCAGGCATCGCTTCGCACTGCCTCCACAACATCAGTTTCATCTTCTTGTAAGGGCTTAGAAAACCTACGTTGATGCATTTTAACACGGACTATTTCAGTTTGAAACAAAACTACTATTTCAATGAACAATGCACTCGGTTGTAAGTTAAATAACTCCTGATAGGAATCAGCTAGAGACCTGCGATTTTCAACATTCGAAAGAGAATAATATTTTTTATATACAAATGTCGAAAGCTGATTGGTCAATTGTTGACCAATCAAGTGAGTTTTCGCTTGACATATTAGGCACTGGTTAGTGAAAAGATTCCCCGTTGGATTTGAAATTCTAATAGAACCATTCGATTGAGAAAATTGTTCTCTATTGATATACACAAGGCCCAGCACTTTATCTTGTGCTGTTCATGAACTATAAGCATTTTCCACAGGGCCCGATTTCGGCCAGCCGACCTTGGATCCCTCCAAAATACCTCGAAATGTAGGTAATCGACCATGCTGAGTCGAGTGATGATGTTTAGTTTCAGTCTCGAAGCGGCTGAAATCATTCAATTGGATATTTCTGAAATTTTTATATTATGTTATGTCGCGCCATGCGGCGTATTGAGTCGATATTTCAAAAAAGTTTATTATTTCAAAACTGAAAATAAACATCTTCACCCGACTCAGCATGGTCGATTACCTACATTTCGAGGTATTTTGGAGTGATCTAAGGTCAGCTGGCCGAAATCGGGGCCCTGTGGAAAATGCTTATAGTTCATGAATAGCACAAGCTAAAGTGCTGGGCCTTGTGTATATCAATAGAAAATAATTTTCTCTGTCGAATGTTCTATTAGAATTTCAAATCCAACGGGGAATCCTTTCGCTAAGCAGTGCCTACATCACCAGCTTTGTGACAACGCGATGTTATCCATGAGACATCTCCCAGCTCTACCGACTGTTTTTCGCAAACTTCTAGAATTTATAAGAAAAGCCCTAAATTGGTTTCTTCTTATTTCTGTAGCTTTGCGCTGGCAATGAACATTTAGGGCTTTTCTTATAAATTCTAGAAGTTTGCAAAGAAAGGTCATGTAGAGCTGGGAGATGTCTCCTTTTAATCAGAAATGTGGGGGCTACAATCATGTCTCTTTAAGAAAGATTTTTATTGTCTTTTAGAGTGTCTGAAAAATTGGTTTTTTAGAAACCCGACCTCTGGAGGTCTAACAGCATAAACCGATGTCAGATTCGGATTTAGCGCAGTTGATTATCTATTGTCCACTAGATTCGAAGCAAAAAGCAATTGCACACTTGGGGACCTTTTCTCGTCAGTGTGACCGATTACTCATGTTTCGGTTGATAACAATGAATTGTGTAAACAGGACTTTTAGAAACTAGAAATGCTGTATGTTTTTGTTCGACACATTCATTCCAATTTTCAACATCTTCTAGCTCAAAAATATGTACTCGTGGAGCTGGTGACATG